CGGCTTTTTTCAGCCCAAAAAGTGGGCTGAAAAACTCGGCTTATACTCGAGTATATACGGTAATCTTGCTTTTGCAGGATTATTTCCCAGTACGAAGTTTGGCCCATTTTGCATTTTGTTTTTGGAAAATCATCCTGCTGATAAAGGACATGTAGGCAGAATCTGAAGTCTCTTTGTGAAATTAATTTCAAATATTCTATAAAGTTTCAAAGAATATAATGGATTAATGTAGAAAAGTAAAAAGTTGGAGCTTGAAATGTCCACTTTGATTGAAATAAAAAAAATCTCTACACTGACTAAAGATCAGCATGAATGGTAGAAATATGTTGACATCAGTGATGTACGGTGAGGTTTACGGCTGGTGAAGCACTGACACAGGGGTTTCAAATTTTGGAAGCCAGTTAACACCTGGAAAATTTTGTATCAGTCTGTGCATGTCATATTTAAATGAAATTTAACATTGCAACTAAATATGTTGTTAAAAAGTTTCGTGAAACAATGCAAAAAGCTGGAGATTAAATTTAGAAAGAATGCTGTTATGTATTTCCTTGTATTTAAGTTAAAAGCAGCCTGGATAGAGTATAAATCCAAAAAGAGGAATTATAGTTAAGGATATTTTTGTTGTTTAACTCATTATTTTCTACTTGAAAATCTTGAACAGCTGATTTTTCACCAGGGTGGAAGCCACTATCTCTAATTTTAAAAACATTTCATTGCAGGGATGGAAATCAATGAAAGAAAAGAAAGGACCAGCCTTCTTTGGGTGCCCTCCTAATATGAAATGCTGTTTAATTGGTGCTCTTCTTTCCCATTGAATAGTTACCCTGAAAAGTTATCATATTGGCTTTTGCGAACTTTATATGAACTTTCATAATAGCAAAATGAGAATGTCCCAAAGATGAATGTCATTAATATAGCCACAGATCCAATGAACAAACTTTCCTTTTAACTGAAGAACACAATATAAATATTTTTAGAAAAGAAAAAGACAGGCATTCCTCTTGGGTGGGCTATTTGAATTAAGCAAATTCACCCCACATGGCACGACAACAAAGGCTAATCTATCACTACTATTATTACTCATAAGAATGGTGAAGTAGTAGTCTTTGGTATAATATGGTCAAATTAGAAGGGAGGAAGGAAGGAAGCTAATATCAAGCCTCCACAGAGTCTCTGACTTTGGCAATCTTTGACCAGGTTCTATGTCAGGACCTTCTACATGCTCCCAAAGCATCTTTACTGCCACTGAGCATTCTTGCTACTTCATGTCACTATGACAAACAACCAGTTTTAGCTCACTCCAATGCTCATATTAGTCACTGTTGTACAATAAAATGAAGGACATATATGTGTGCACCCACCCACTTTGCATACTAAATATGTGCAACAACATTGCAATTCACAATTCTGCCATGAAAATTTCTATGAAATCATTGTATGCTTCAAGAAATAAAAAAACCACCCAATTGTTGCTATTTGAATGGATGTCAAGCACAGCAGCAGGAAGGATGGATCCAATATTGATGTGCTTTAGCAACTGATTGAGAAGCCTTTTGCTAGACATGTAGAGAACTTCTCACCATGTCCCCTCTTCTGCCAGCCACACTTCTAGAAGCTGTCCCAAATGTAACTCATGTGTTTTTCTCATTCTTCTTTCTTTCAGACTATCAAAAGGGTCAGTGTGATTCTGTTCATTTACTGCTTTGTGCCTTTGAATTCAGATTTAAATTAGGCTGAGTGTAAGTGAGTGAAGAATACAAAATGCCTAAATGCATTAGTGGTTACACTCCATCAACAGTCTTCAGCTGCCCTGCAGGGTTCTGGAAAAAAAGAAACAACAGATTTGGAGTAGGGGAAAATCCTAAAAGTCTGGGGAATGTCTGTTTATAGTTGCATCCTAATGTGGTTGCTGCACCTTTCAACTCTGAGCTGGTTTTAAAGATAACTGATTTTTCTCAAATGCAATTCCAGAAGTAATTCCTAGCCCAGCATCCCAGCTGGTTTTGGTTGTTCAGTGATCATTACTGTAAAATGCCTTCTCCATATGCTCAGAAACATTCTCCAGACAAAAGCCTAACTTCAATTGTCAATCAGCCACGTTGCTTAAATATATTACATTTTCTGCACATGTGCACAGAACTTGTCTATCATCCTATATTCCCCAACCGAGCCTCTCTGTGTTGGATATGACTCCCATCGTTCCGTACCAACACGGGAGCAACCCAGAATCCCAGTTACTTTATTTCAGCTCCCAAGGGACCGCATCTCTGTCTCTCAATTGCTTTGCCGAGAGAGAGGCAAGCCCATGAGAGTCATCCCGAGTGATGAAAGGCGAAGCAAGAAGGCAGAGGAGACGAACGAATAAATCCCCCAGCCCCTCTTCTGGCCGGATTCGAACGACCGCCAGGCTTATAGCCGCCTGCTATTTTAAGCTCAATGAATCTTGTGAATGCTGCCGAACCGGAAGAAAGGGCTTAAAATTCGCATCTGTTCGTCCCCACTACCACCACACACACACACTTGACAACTCACCTGCCGCTTCCAGTGAAGATAGCTGGGCGAGACAAGTGCCTCAAGCGAGCAACCACAACCCCATGCCGGAGAGGGTGGCGCAGCGCCCGCAGAGCTGGTTCGCTGATCAGGATCGCTTCTACTGTCGCTCGCTCTCTCACCGTTACTGCCTTGGGCTGCTGGGTGGTTTTTCTAATCCAGTTGCACAGCTATTCCGGGGGCCTTTCCAACGAGGAGATAGATGGGAAAACAATGGGAGGGGGATCCACAAGGATCAGCCAGACTGCCATGCAAAAAACTCACCCCGGGGTCTGCATTGGGCTTCTGCCCCGTGGGATCTATATGCTTTGGCGGGGGTGAAGTGGGGCGGATCACAGCTTTGCATTGGAGACCCGCCCCCACAATCCGCCCGAGTTAGTCGTTTTTTCGTTCTCTCTTCCAATGCGGGTATTGTATTACATGAAAACTTGAGTAGTTCCAATACTAAATGAAATAATAATAAACGGCGACTTCGCTGAAACTCAGTTTTGGGCGAGAAACCAAAGCAATATCTATCGAAACAAATAAAGCAAAAACTCTGACCGGGATGCCCGCTGGCAAAAGTGAACGGAACGGCGAAGTTCCACGTCCTAGTCAGGCAGAAGAGATTTCCATGAGAAACAAATAGTAGTCCTAATTTGGGAAACA